GGGCGAGGGGGACGACAGGGGGACAACGGGGACGATGGGGACGACGGGGGGACAACGGGGACAATGAGGGGGGACAACGCGGGGAGAATGTGGGGACACCCCGGGACGGACCCAGAACCGACCCCCCCCCCCCCCCCCCCCCCCCGCGCCTTTTACCCTGCCGTGGCGGCCGGTGCCCCGCCCGCCGCTTCCGGGCGGCGGGAGTTTGTTCCGGTTCCGTCGCGCTCGCCCCGGCTAAGCACGTGCCGGTCCCGGGCTGTTTGGTGAAAGCGGAAACGCAGCGCGTGGGGCCCGGCTCAGCCCCCGCAAAGAGCCGGGCCGTAAAAACACGGGGCTGTGCTGGGGGCAGGCGTGTAAATCAGCCGCTCTGCGGTGACCCGGGTGCGAGAGGGCCTTGTTGTGACACTGGCTAACGAAGGGCCCCGGGGCAGCCCCCGGCGTGGTGTCAAACGGGGTTTTGTGCTCGGGACACGGAACGTTTCTGAGAGGACTGAGGCCTGCCCTGTTCTGCGAGGGAACTGTTGCTGTTGACAGTTAGGTCGCCATCGTGACCCTCCGGAGTTACCTTCGCCTGGGCCGTTTCTGCCTCTCAGCGGGATTTAGTCAAGTATCTGCTTTGTGGCTCCTCTATTTAAAGGCTGTTTATCCAACAAGAAGCGTGTTTTTTTTTAAAAAAAGTAAAGAGTTTCTTTCTATTAAAATGAATTATGGAAAGACCCTACGCACTTACTGGTGTGTTTGCTGTGTATTTAGTTAGATACTGGTCCCTGAGTTCATAATTTTTCATTATGGCTTTGTGCTTTTGCTGTAGGCTTCTCACCTCTGTTGTCCCATTGGCCATACTAAAAGTTGTGTTTAACAGCAACGTGGAACTTGCCTGTTTCTAGGCGGGGGTAGTTGCTAGAGTTTGAGCTGGCCCTATATAGGTGGATGCAGAAATCTTCCTGTAACTTCTGTTTGCATTTGAGTTTAAACATGCAGTCCTTCAGCAAAATTGATTTTTTAAAACTAAGCTATTTTTAATATGGCTTTTTTTCTTTTTTATAGTTCATTTTCCTTTTATGTGCTTAATGTATGGCTTTTGCACTTGTTCCCTGGGTAACCCTGCTGTTGGTGGGCTTTCAGACTTTACAAATTGATTTATTTGTGCCTAAGAAGTTCCATGCTTTAAAATGCTTGTCCATAGGGAAGTCCCGGTGCTGAGTACCTTATAGTCCTTTTTAGGAGTGTAAGGCCAGCAGGTGAGTGACCTGTGCTGTTTTTGCAGTCGGTGTGATGCTCAAATACGAGAGGAGCAAAAGGCTCAGCTGGATTGCTTGAACTTAGACTCCCTTATTAAGGTTTGTGGTTAAGAAATCAGGGAGACCTGTATTTCTTAGCTGTTTAGAGCTTACATATTAAGGTGTAGGACTCCTATGAAGTAAAAGCCTGGATACCTCAAAGTTTTGGACCTGAATGCTCCTCTGGGTGTCTCTGTTTGTCAGTTTTTTACATTTTGCATTCAGAAAAATAAAAAGTTCACAGCAATGCTGCTAAGCTGTTGGAGTTTAAAATAGTGTTTAATGCTGAAGCTGCGCAGCGCGAGATGCTGAAACACATGGGGATTTTCAGTAGACATGTTCACAGTTAGAGCATGTTTAAGATCATAAATGTTTGTCTTTCAAAGCCAGAGTAAGAGTAGGTTTTGCTTTCATCAGGTCTATCTGATCGAAATATGATACTCTGACAGTAGTGGTGTTAGGTTAAGTGATGACAATGTGTTTTTTTCCTCCTGTTAGGCATTATGATTGACACATGCAGTAGGGCTGTATTTCTTTTTCAAAATATTAGTTTACAAAAAAAAATGTGGATTTAAATACAAGAGGAGAGAGCTGCAGCCTGTTGTGGTAGTTCCTGGGAACAGCTTGAGATGGACTGTGTTTGCCAGCCCATCCGAGGGAAATGGTGAGATCCAGAGTGGTCCTAGGCTTCCAGTTAAGCGCCTTTCTGGTGTTCAAAGTTTAGTTCACGGAGATCTTCGCTTACCTGTTGTGGCTCCTGCTGGAACAACCTGTGTTATCTGCTGTCTAGCTGGAGAAATGAAGAGCTTCTTGGGGAATAAACTATTCCTCAGATCCCAGAGCAGCCTGCACGAGCGTTACACAACCTTTGGGGGTCACTTTTTTTTTTTTTTGAGAAGCACATTTCTCATCTCTTGGCTATAGAAGGGAGCTGGAGGGGGCTGAACTGCTTCAATGCAGTTGCCATTGCAGCATTTCCAAGGCCTATAGTAATTTATCTCCATGTTATTTATCTGAAATGTTTAAAAGCTCACCAATGCTGCTGGTGAGTATCATTGAGGTAATAAAGAAGGGAATGAACCTTTTTGAGCTTGAAATAATTTTCTTTTCCAAAGGGAGGTAGGGATGTGTGTGTCTACGTGAGAACATTCCTGTTATTTTATGTTGCCTGCATTCAGGCAGTGCTGTTCTTTTTCCCCCAAATGATTTATGCCTTGCATCAAATCTCCCGGTCTGGTTTTGTGATGAATGAATAATGAATGCTCTAAATAAATAACAAGTAATTACCATTATCCTTTTTTATTTTATTTTTTTTTAAATCATCATCTTTTTCTGCATGCTTATGCAGTTTTTCTGTTAGCGTATGCTCATTTTATACAGTACTTATTAAAATGGTGTTCTTCAGATGGGGTGTGTTGTAGCTGTGGGTTTATTTGCTTTCCATAGTCCTTGGGCTGATGACTTTTGTGCAGTGTCTACCAGTTTCATCCTCAGCTCCTGTCTTTAGCTCCTAGCTAAAGGCAAGCAGTACAGTAAGCACTGTACTTACGTTACAGAGCTAGGGTGGATATTGACCATTTTATGGGGAATTATTTACTGGATGTTTCTGTGCATTTTTGGATGTGAAGAGTTTCTATTATTGTTTTGTCTTCTTACTTTGATTTCTTCACTTCCCGTCTGCCTGTTTCTCAATATGAGGCCTACTTTTACCTTAGGATTGGGTGTTGCTTCCTCCGGATTCGCTCAGTGTCTTTCAATAAAGCAACATCTCTTCCAGCAATCCCAGCCTGTCAGGCTAGAGACTAAGGGCCAGGCAGTGTTTTGAGACGGATTATCTTGTAGTTTGATCTGTTAATATTTCTAGTGGATTTTTATCAGATTGGAGGAAAAGAAGAAAAGGACATCTGTGTAATTTAGAGGCTTAAACACCACCTAAGGGAGAGCTCCCTTTGTTAAGTGGTACCTCCATTCGGTTTGTGCCCAGGGATTTGGAATTCAGGTAGAATTTTAAGTGGCTTGGATTCTGAAAACACTTGTAACTAGGGTTACTTCCCATGGTGACCAAGGTTGTTGGACAGCAGTTGAGTGGTGTACAAAATACGCACATGTTTGTCTTGGAGATCCAGAAAATTTCTGGGATTAAGGTGAAATTCAGCAGTGTTTTGTTCCTTAGTTTTCGCTCTCGTTCTTCTATGCTGGATATTTTACTTGCCTCTTCCAAGAGGCTTTTAATCTTTGATTTGGATGATTTGAATGAATCCATCATGACTTTGTGGGACTTACTACTAATCTTCTTGCTTTTTTTTTTTCTCTTGTTTATTGCCTCTGCTGCAGGCTAAGCCATGACTTCAGGATCTGGGCATGTGGACTCCAAAGCTGAGCTCACTGCTTTGCTTGAGCAATGGGAGAAAGAACATGGCAGTGGGCAAGACATGGTCCCCATTCTCACCAGGTAAGTTCCAGCAAATAAATTCTGATGTTGCCCGAGAGCTGCTTTTACTGTGTTTTTTGCTTAAGGTTTTTAAATAGCTAATTAGCTGTTGCTAATTTGATCTAAAAGATATGCAGTGAGTGTAGCATTTAGATACATATATTTTTTGTTATGAACTTTAAATAGCTAATTAGCTGTTGCTAATTTGTATTCTTTGATCTAAAAGATAAGCAGTGAGTGTAGCATTTAGATACATAAAATTTTTGTTATGAACTTTAATATTGCAAAGCTCTTAGGCAGATGGTCTCAAACATGAAATAATGGAAGCCAGGGAGAAGCTGAACAATGTTTTACAAGCTTCAGGTGAGGACATCAAACTTAAGAAAGCAAGCTATGAAAATGGGGTTTCATCAGAGTGGTAGTGTCGGAGTTTGTTCTCGTTAGATTGTGTGGACACTGATCAGATTGTGGGAAAGGATGAGAGAGAGTCAATAGGATGAATTTAGGGGATCATATAGAGGATTTTATTGAAGCTTATAGAGAAGATTTTATTGAAGCCTATTGGATGTGCCTGAATAGAGCTGTTAAAATTCTCTTTCTCAATGATGGACAGACAGTTCATGTGTTGTATTTGTGAGGAAAATATCCCCTAGGCCAATAAATTACTACTTAGGAGATTTGCAGCTGGTAGTAGCAGCATTATTGAGAACACATCCCCTACTACAGGAAGAACAGTTGGAATATCAGTTAAGTATGTGGTTTTCTGAGGCAAGCTTCACTTGGGTTAACTGATAATATTTTTGTGGGAATTTTATGGGAATTTCACAGAAAATACACCTGATTTCTTCTCCTACCTCAAGGCAGGCCACAGGAGGAAGGATTTAAAATGTTTGCTGGTACACTAGGAACAGCCCAAGTTTCTGTAAGGCAGTTCTCCGTGTTGTTGCATGAGGCACCTCAGACAAGCAAAGCTTCTTTGTGTAGATGCATGCTGTGTCTCACCTAGTTGATAACACTTCTTTGCTGTTTTTACCACTATTTAAAAAAAATAAGAAGGAGGTGAGCAGCAAAAATATCAGTGCTTATCCCTTAGAAATGAGCAAGTTTCCTGAAAAACATGAGGCGTGTTTATTGTATCTTTGTGTATTTGTTGTCTGATTTGTGCCTTGGAAGAGTTGTATGTGTTGCTTCCAGACTTTCTATTGCAGTCATGAGTGCCAGAAATGTACTAGTCTAAGAAATATAAAGAAATCTGAATTTAAAATTAAAGATGTGTTTTCTTGTGTGTATCATTCTGGCACTTGCTGTTCCCCGGCTCTTTCAGTTCCTACATTATTTGTGCCTGAGTCAGACAACCCTCCTGTGGCTCTCCCAAGATTTCGATGCAGCAGGCAGGTTGTAACAGATGAGGAAAGCTTGGGAATTTTGGCTTTAGTAGAGATTTACTTAGAGTAGATAGCAGGAGGATTTTCTGGCTCTAGGAGATGCCTGAAAGGATGTAAATCCAGTATCAGTGCAATTTTGGAGTACTGGATTTCAGGAATAATTTAAATAGGTTTAAAAGAATCCCCTGGAAGAGATGCTACGAGTGTGCAGTGACTCCAGCTGTTGGTGGCTGGTGTGCTGGGATAGAGTGGTGCTATTGCACACTTGGAGATGGAGGAAGCTGTGCTCACTCTTGCTGGTGAGGGGCATTTTTCTGCTTCCTTCTGCCCTCTGGGCTAAGTGAGAGAACTTCCCCGTGCGGAGGGAAGTCCATTGAACATGAGATGTGAGTGTGCAGTAGTGAGTGCTTCAGCAGTAATAACGCAGCAGCAACTACCTGGTGGCTTACAGGCCACAGGTGAATTGTCAGGTCCAAAGAAATTTGTTTTCTGGGTTAGTTACCTAATAACTTAGTTTTCTGGACTGTTAGAAGGTATCAATGTAAGAAAAATAGTGTCTGCAAGTGACCAATGCATAATATTATCTGTTTTTTTTTCTGGGAAAAATGTAGATTGAAATGATCCTTCCAGAGCATTAATTCGTAGTCTAAGTGCAACTTGTATTGAAACATACTGGCAAATCCTGGGAGCCATGTCCTTCATGTGGTCTGGAGAGCCAATATTTGGGCTGCCTTAAGTTACGCTGTCTGCATTGGGGGGGATGTAGCAAAGTTGAGAGGTGCTTGTGTGTAGCCCTCTCGTCCCTTCTTTCTTCACCCCCAGGGTGAGCTCAGTTTGTAGGAAGTGGAAATGAGGCTCTTACCTTTCTGAAAATGACCTGCAAAGGCAGTCGTGAAGAGAGGGGCAAGAAACAAGGCAAGAGGGAAAGATACCACCAGCACTTGCAGCCACATAAAATGTAGGTTTTTGCATGCATGCAAAATCTGAATCACTAGGGAACCAACATAATACTAAGGAAATGGCAAAACCTGAATAAATATTAACTACTTTTGTGGCTTTTTGTTGTTGTTAAAGCCCTTTCAACAGAGCATGTGACTGCGTTATGAAAACAGATTGAGCTTTCTTATTCCTTCAGTTCTTCTCTCCCTTCGGTGAGGAACTGGTAGGCCATGTAGAGAGATTCACCCAAGTCACTTCTCAAACCAAAAGGGTTGCAGACTTAACATTCGAACTGTCAAGGGGGAAAGGAGATGTTGTTTTTGGTTGTGGGCCTGGTAGGAATCTTTTTGAAGCCACTTTTGTATGCTTTAAGGAAGAAAAGGATAATATAAAAAAGTTGGATCTCCTCCTGCAATTTTGAATATCCATTTTAAAATGGCAGTGATTTTTTTTCTTTCTTTTTTAATGTTGGCCAAATGATTGTGCCTACTTGTTTGGAGAAAAAAAAAATACCACAATCAGCAACTCACGTGCCTGTCTCATCTAGGCTGAGCTGATGTCGCTGTCCCCGGGGCAGTCCAGCTCCAGCCTGGCATGTTTGGCTGCCTACCTCACCAGGCTGCAGTGAGGAGTGTGTTTCCCTTGCTCTCCCTGCTGCTTGCCAGACCTTTCTGGCAAGCTTCCAAAAAGCCGATTAGCACCTCAAAAGACCTGATAACTCTGTGGTTCAACTTCTCAACTCCCCGTTTGTCCCAGCTGGCTGTTGGCAGGCTCCCCTCCAACTATTAGTTTCTACAGGGGGAAAAAATAGGAGGAGCTGGCAGGGGAGTGCTTAAGGAACTGGCTTTTGCCAGAAATGTGTGAGAGCTCAAGCTGAGCCACCTGTTAGCAAGAGGCACAATTTGCATCTCTTCAGATTCAGGCTTACTGCAAGTAAATATTAGAACCCCACAGGATCAACAGTTTGCTGAGAGTTAATTGTCAGACTGGAGAAAAGCGCGGAAGTTCTCTCCTCGTTCCCAATAAGGTAATTTGCTGTTGCTACAATCCAGGCAGGCCTTACAACATCATCTCTTGGCACACTGCCGAATCGGTGTCAGTCACAAAGGCAAATCTAAGTACATTTTTTTGCCTCTAATCATTCCTGGCAGCACAGGATATTTTCTGGAAAGTAACAGGAGTGGAGCAGGAATCGGTGCCATTCTGCAAGGGAAATGTGCAAGTGAAAGACAGATAATTTCCCAGGAATTCCTGCAGCCTTCCCGCAGTTTTCCCTGCCCAGTACTAAGTCAATTCGCTAGCCCTGGGGTGTGCAGACCTTGCATTAAGCTGCTGTGCTGACAGTAGGTTCTGCACCCCACTTCTACTGACTTCAGTAGAAAGGAGTGAATGAGGTTTATACCAAGGGAATATGATGAGTTTGGTAATACTTTTTAATGCCCACTCTATTTCACCTCAAAGGTTATGTGTTTCCACTGGGAAACTTCCTGAAGAAAACAGTGCCTGTCTATGACAGTATTTATTGTTTGACCTGTTCTTTGTTTCTTTTAAATATAAATGATTCCTTCCTGCATTGCTTGATCTGAGTGAATTGGGCATAGGATTTCTTGTATCTTCTTAGGCAGCTTCTCAGTTTAGGGGAAAATGCAACTTTAAAACTGCCTCTGATCTTTTGCTGATACATTAAATTCTCCTCTGTATCTGGAGGTCTATGAATGGGTAGCCAGCTGAGTTTCTCCTTCTCCTAGTTGCTACAGTAGCTGACATGCTTGGTAAAAAAGATAATTGAGCTTGAATGGAGCTGAAGGGATACAAGTAGAACAAAATGAGAAATAGAGACGTGTGGGGAGTTTCTTGCAGAATGTGTTGTAGAAGGTTACTAGGACTCTCATGTGAGCAAATGAAAGCTATCGTCCACCTGCATTATATCTCACTAGAGCTTTCTCAAGTAGCAAGAGATTTCTGGCAGGATAAGCTTTGTTTTGGTACTCTTCAGAACGGAATGAAATGGGATGGAATTACCTATTTCTGAGGAGGAAAATTTGCTCTATTTGCAGCTTCTCCTTTTGGAGTTTTGGCAGGCAGCCTCCTCCCGAGCAGTGCTCTTGTGCTGCACTGGGGCCTTGATAAAGACCAAGTGTGTTTGTGGTGGGTTGAAATGAGATATTAGAGGCAAGTCTATACTTTTTTCTTGTTCTGCTCTAGCAGACAGCCTGAAATCCTCTGGTAGCACTAAATACAGTATAAGTGAGAGCTGATGAGCTGTTTTATTAACAAGCTGTGAGGAGCTGCCTCCTAGGACCAGCCGGAGTGGGGAATCTTGCTTATTTTCTGTTCTTTTTTTTTCATAGAATGTCTGAGCTGATTGAGAAGGAGACTGAAGAGTATCGCAAAGGGGATCCGGACCCTTTTGATGACCGACATCCAGGTGAGATTTGCTGAATGTATTTGGCAGCCCCAGCTCTATCTCAGTCGGTACCTGGTAACTCATATTTAATAATGGGCAATATCTGGCTTGAATGTATTCTGCTGCTTATCAAGGTCTGGCATTGCTTTCAAACTGAGGAATTGTGCTCTGTAGTGTTGATACCTGGCAGTTTTGAAGTTTGTTTTGGACATATCACGGCCCTGGATAGACTTCTGAAATAGCATTTCTGAGGTTGATTTATGAAATATGGGTATGATTGTGCTAACAAGTTGCAATTAAAGGGAAATACTGGGTCTGAGTTGCACAGAGAGGGCAGTCTGTCCCAACTTTTCTTGGTTTGCCTTTTGAGTTTGCAGTTGGACAAGTGTAGTGTTTTGGATTGTTTGTTTTGTTTGGATTTATTTTATTTTATTTATTTTTTTTGAGATGATTTATTTCCAGATACTTGGAAACAGCTTGTCTGACATCCTTATCTTCACTGTACATAGAAATGACAGTTCAACACTCTTGGGCCATTAAGATCTCTCATACTTTGACCAGTAGGACATTACTTTACGGAGGTGATGCCTCCTAGAAGAAATATTAGCTCAGTTACTAATTTTTACAATTTATCCTGTGATTTTCCCGCTGAGAAAGATTTCCTTCTGATTTGAGGATAGTTGTTCAGTATTAATTCTGCAGTCTGGAGGTAGCTGATTTTTTTCCCTGTTTCTCCTACAGGTCGAGCAGACCCAGAGTGCATGCTTGGGCACTTGCTAAGGATACTTTTCAAGAATGACGATTTCATGAACGCGGTGGGTTTGCCCTGAGAGCTGCACCTGACCATCCCTGCCACCTTCTCGTGGTTTCTGTCCACTTTGTGCTTGTTTCATTTTGCTGGTGCTGGGCCTATGTCTTCCATAACCATTTTCCTTAAATATGGTTTAGATAGTGACTTGTTTGCCACTGTTGTAACGCCTCAAGGAAGGGGGGGATTTATTAGCTGTTTAGGACTGCTGAAGAATTTGTAGTAATAACTGAACTAGTTCTTCTCAGTTTATCACCCTGAAGAAATTACTGTTTTTCTAGTATAAATTAAAAAGCGTAATTAACTTCTCGAATGGGAATTACTACCACTAATTCCAATGTCTGGAGTCTTTGCCCTATACTCGGAAATGCTGGACAAGGGCAGAGGAGCATAGTAGTTCTCGAAGGCTTAGGGAGAGGATTAGGAGGCAGAAATCTGGCTTTTCTCTTGCCCTGCTACACTCAGTTTATTGCTACAGCTTTTGGGAGATGAAGATTTACCTTCATCTCCCTACAAATATTGGCATATTTTGTTATAGGGATTCTGTCAGAATGCTGAGAAGTTATTAGTTAGTATCAGAGAGTTCAGGTTAACACACTTGAAGATCCAGGGTTTAGGTATATCTTTCATTTTATTATTTTGCTGCTGTGGGATTTCACTGCTCTGGTTTTAGTCAGAGATGATTTTCAAACCAATGCTGTTCCTGATCTTCTCTAGCTAGTGAATGCTTATGTGATGACAAGCAGAGAGCCTCCACTAAACACTGCTGCCTGCCGACTCCTTCTGGATATCATGCCAGGACTGGAAACTGCTGTTGTCTTTCAGGAAAAGGTATTCTCTATACTGAGCCTTGATTCATGAACTTGGGGTATTGCATACCCCAGCAGTTCCTCCAACAGGAGAAATCAGCAAAAAGAAAGACTGAAACTCTGTTTCTTGCAAACAGTCTCTTCAGGCTTATGCATGTTCTTGTATTTACTTTAGTGTTAACTTATTCAGCTCACAAAATTTGGGGTGGTCCATAGCTTCCAGCATATAACGAGGACTTGATTCATGCAGCAGAAGAACTGGAATTTAATATTTTGGGAAATGTTGTGCTTTGAACTGTATTTTACAGACCTGGAGCAGGCCATATAAAATGTTAAGCCTCTCTGTAGTAGGCTCAGCCAGTAATTTACAGCTACAGCAGAGTGGTACCGTTATTAGAGCTAAGTGATTATACTTAAGCAATCTAAAATCCACATATATTGTGGGGTTTATCTAGAACTGTGATGTGCAGCTGAATCAGACCCCTGCGTCGCTTTGCAAGTCTGTTTTGAAGGACTGTGTAGAGGGGTCAAAAGTCAAAAGCTCCTAAGCCCCAATTTCCTGATCTGTAACATTAAGAGAATCTTAAATTTGGAAATGAGATAATGCTTTCTGTAGAAGTCCAAAATGAGTTTCTTTAAAGTTATGAATATGAGATCTGAGAACATGGCAAGAGGGAAGAGTAATATGCTGCCTCTGTGAGTTCATTGTAATTTGAGGTTTTTAACCTGTCCGCAGTTTAAGACTTAGAGATTTTTGATCCATAAAATTTAAAAGAAAAATGATAGTTTGCTGTTCAGAGAGGATTTAAATACAACTTGCATGCAGGAGATTTTAGGACAGTTAACCAAGTGCACTGTTTTAAGAGTCTATATTGTTCGAGGCCCTCTGGTGGCTAATGTACTTCCCATCTCATTTATTTATTTTTTGTATGTAAATAATAATGTGAATTTGAATGTATAATGGACAGTGCTTTAAAAATCTGTGAGCTGAGAATTCTCACATGAATATATGCCTTCTCATCATTGTTTTCAGCTGATATTTTGTCATGCTGTAACTAGAATTATTCAAAATAATGTGCAAGATTCCTTTTAACGTAATAATGTGTTATATGCTGCTTCAAGATCCCATAATGATTTAGGGGAGAAAAAAAGCTACAGTCTTGCCTGTTGTGATTTAGTTGACTGTTTTTATTTGGACTTATTCAGACTGGTTAAACAAATGCATGTCAGACTGTGTTCAAATGCTGCCTCATTTGTTACTACTAAAAGCATTAACTATATTTAGTGTGAAGATTTTCATTTTAGCAAATGATTAACTTCCTTTTTCTGAAGTCATTCTGGATTTGTAGCTGTGTTGACAGTTGTTCTTTGGGTTCATGAGTAATCATTAATGTAAATAGTTCCTCTGGCAACAGCCAGCTGGCTTAAGTGGCTTCTCAATTTGGCCCTAGTAAGCTTTGAAGCTTCTAGTGAACTGCAAGAATCTTAGCCAAATTTGATTCTACTTGATATAAATTCAATGCCAGACCTTTGAAACCTCCTAATTTGCTGGCAATATACATGAATGAAACTGGCACTTTGGGTTCTTTTTCTGGTGTTGTTTGGTTAACCAATTTAAACTCGTCTTTTGCCACTTTCCAGGCAGTAAGTTGAATTACCGCTCTGGAAGATTTCTGCAGGTGTGCCAGTCTTGATCCTAGGTATCTAATGCCTGGGAATAGTTTTCTGCGGCTTGTTGTTTTGCTTCCCTGTAGTTT